ACATGACAAAAAGTATAGGGAAATTTGTTATGAGCACCTCTAAGGAACTGTCTTTATTAACCATTTCTGCCTGGGCTCTACTAATATCTAAGATATAGCAATCATAAATAGCCTGCATTTTTAAATGATCTAAAAGTAGACAGCTGCTGCTCATCACAGAAGGTACCATTCTACAATTTTAGGAATTGGCCTGTAATATAAGGCAGTTTCAGCTTAGAATTACAGGAAAGAGGCTGAAAGCACATACTCCCTTTTGTCATCAAAAGCTGCAGTCTCCAAATTCTTTTGACAACACATCTTATTTAAAAAATAGGGCACAATCATTATAACTATATTTACTGATAAATTATAAATTGTTAATATATTTAATACTATATAACAGTATAGTTTATATTTCTAATATATTATGTATTAAGAACAAACATAAATACATATTTAAAAGAATGAGATAAAATAAAATAAATACTATTAATGTTAACTAATTTATTAATGTAAATACAGCCACCTCTCTCTCTAAAACATATAATAATACTTTAGAGAGCTATATTATTGACTCTGCTTTATTACTTTTTAAACTCTTGGTGTAATTCTTTGTGATGAGGGTAAATCAATGAAGTGATTTCAAGTTAAGTCTTTTTCTGTAGTTCCTTTCATAGTTGAAAATGATAGCTTCAAAAGATTCATAGAAACCAAATGAACAAAGATATTACTAACTGACATTAATGAATCCATGATACACATTTTTTCAAATCCATCCACTAATAATGTAAACATTTTCATTGAAATTTGACTGGACAAATTTATCACTCTTACTTCAATCATTTAGTCTTTGTAAATATTATAATAAGGCTTAGTTGAAATAAATTTTCAGTTGGAAGATTTTACAACAGGTTAGAAAAATATGGCAAGAATCAGACAGACTGCTGAAATTAAGAATAAAAAACGTGGGTCAATGTTGAAGATTCAAATATGGCAGACATATTCTGTGAGAAAACGGGCAGAAGCAGCCCACTTTGCTGGCAGTTAAGAGTCAACAGTTTCAAGCATATAGATAGGAGATTTTTAAAGAAGACATGCTCACATATGATTTCAGCAAGAATCACGTGACTAAAATATTTCAAAACATTCATTTTAAAATACTCTTTACATAGTGTGAGTTTCTTCTGAGAAACAGTTATTTTCTCACTTACTATTAAACATAAAATTGTATATTGAAGGGAAAATTAAATAGGTGGCTGATTAAGAAGTCATGCTTAAAAGTAGAAGAAATATCACTCTGCCATTTATTATACTTGGATTATTGGTGTAATCTTAAAAAAATCTGCATTTTCACAGAATGGTCATTATACATTTGTGAGGGTTACTTTAGTTTCAAATACTTAATTTGGTTCAGAAATCCACTAACCAGACCAACATAACATTATGTGTGAGGTATTGTTGTGACCAAATGAAGGTCTGTCTTGTATCAATTATATGATAGATATTAGAAATACATTTTTTAAATTTTACATAAAAATGAATATAAATGGAAGTTTAATGTTTTCTATTAATAGAATTTTCTTCTACACCTCTGGATCACACTGTATACTCCATGGAGCTGCTCACTCCCTGTTTGGAAACCACTGAAGTATATCACTATTTCTAACAAATGCAGCGTGAGCTCATTTTCACACACAGCTCTATCTGTTCCGTGTGGCCACACCCCCGTTATGTGGCCCCTTGCATTAAAAATATTCCCACTCAGGCGGGCGCGTGGTGGCTCATGCTGTTATCCTAGCACTCTGGAGGCTGAGCGCGGTGGATGCTCAAGGTCAGGGGTTCGAAACCAGCCTGAGCAAGAGCGAGACCCCATCTCTACTAAAATAGAAAGAATTAGTTGGCCAACTAAAAATATATAAAAAATTAGCCTGGCATGGAGGCACATGCCTGTAGTCCCAGCTACTCAGGAGGCTAAGGCAGAAGATTGCTTGAGCCCAGGAGTTTGAGGTTGTTGTGAGTTAGGCTGATGCCACGGCACTCTAGCTGGGCAACAGAGTGAGACTCTGTCTCAAAAAAAAAAAAAAAATTCCCACTCTTGTTTATAAACTTTTGGTTCCGTATCAATATTCTGGTCATTATATTTAATATCATGTTTCTAAGGTTAATCTAATTTCTGTGTTGTCCATATCACAAGAACTTTCAAATAAAGAGAGAGGTTGAGTTCCAGTGCTTGCTGGGCGGACCAGAGGGGTGAATGAGATTGATGGAGTTATTCAGGGATCAGTGGGGAGGGAGTGTTCTTTGAGGAATATCTCCAATATTTTTTTTCAGTGAGATTCTGTCTTCTCGTTTCCTGTGTTTAAACGTTAAATGTTTAAAAACAAAAAAACCACTCTTCCAGCTAAAAGTTTGAAATAGTCAACTTCTTCATTATATAATTGTGCAGCTCTTTTTCTTAAGAGTGGAGGAAAAGCAAATCCCGTATACGAAACAAATGATCCTTTGCAGTGTAAGGTAATATTTAGAGTAACTGTGCAGTTTACATTTCAACTGTGATTTATTTGGATTTTGTGATTCAGGGACTCTGGGTCCTAGTTCAGTTCCTCACACACCACACACACAAAACACATGAATTCATATAGAAAGAGGCTATGCCAACGAAGAAAATCATTCCTCATCAGTATAAAGTCATACTTGTGTAAAAATCATAACTAAGACCATTCCTTATTGGTATAAAAAATATGTGATTCACACTTTTTTGTAGAGTTGAAAGAATCCTATTTTGCAGTGAAGAAAATGAAGCCATAAAAGTTAGGTAACTTCTTTGATCACAGAGTTTGTTAATTGCAGATGGGCCTGGACAAGGTCTGGTGACTACCAGGTCAGCGTGCTTTCTGCAAGAAACTCTAGTAGTGTTTATCTAAACAGAAAAGTACAGACACCAGCTACATTGTGGGAAACATGGAAGCATTAACGGGTATTTAAATAGGGAGAAGTGGACAGAAGTATCTCTGGCGAAGCCACGACCAGGCAGCTGTCGGTGCCATCAGTTGGGCTGGGAAGGTTTCCATGGCAGAAACATTGACAGAAGAGAGCCTAGTTCCTGTACGTGGACAAGACAACATTCCAGAAATACGGACAAGAAACTGTAGCAGTGTGTTCCCTGCACCATCCAGGGTCTGATATGTTTGGATTAACAGTATACTGGAGTTAACTCGAAAGGCACGAGATGATGGAAAACAGATGGTCTAGCCCAACTTGTACCACAACACATGCCCTTAGGATATCCTTTCTTATAAGATTAAGAGTAGAATGTCTATGTACATAATTGTAAATCAGTGCCTTTAAACTCTTTTTACCTGTTGAAATATAGAATAAGCAGAAATAACGGGAGTTACCACATTACCAGCAACCTTCTTTTACAATCTGCCCTGTACTATTCGCCATACTCCATCCACCCTACGTCTCAATCCACCTACTCTATCCCCCACTCCATCTACTGGTCTACTCTATCATCCTACTCCATCCACCTACTCACCACCCACTCATCCCACCTACTCCTCCAACCCTACTACTACCATACACCTATGCATCTACCTACTGCATCCACCCGTACTCCATCCACCTCTACCATCCACCCTACGCATTACCCTACCATCTACCCTACTAAATCCCCTACCACATCCACCCTATTCATTCACCCCTATTAGATCGCATCCCCTACCTCATCCACCCCCTATTCCATCTACCCTATAAATCCACGCGTACCTCCACCACCTCACTTCCTATCCTACCTACTCCTACCCTACCCATCCCCCTATCTAGCCCTACTCATTCCACCACTGCATCTACCTACTGCATCCACCCTATTGCATCCACCCTATTCCATCTACCCCTACCCATGCCACTCTACTCCATCCACCATTCCATCTACCCTACTACATCCAACCCTACTCCCATCCACCTACTCCAATTACTCCATTTCATCCACCTACCCATCACTCTATTCTATCTACCTACTCATCCCACTCACTCCTATCCACCCTACCCATTACCCTATCATCCATCTCGCTACTGTATATCGTACCCTCGAGCATCTACCCTACTCCATCACACTCTATCCAATCATACCCTACTCCATATACCCTATCATCCACCCTACTCCATCACCCTAATGCTCCACCCTACTCCATCCACTCTATCCATCTACCCTACTCCATCTACCTACTCCATCCACCCTATCCATCCACCCTACTTATACCATCCTACTAACATCCACCTTACTCCAACACCCTACCCATCACACTCTATCTAGTCCACTACTTTATCCATCCTATTCCATCCACCCTACTCCATTCACCCTACCCTCCACTACCATCCCTACTCCATCCTCCCACTCCATCCACCTACTGCATCCACCTACTACATCCACCCTAACGCATCCACCCTACTACATCCACCCTACTGCATCCACCTAGCTCCTCCACCCTACTCTATCTACCTACTGCATCCACCCTACTCCATCCACCCTACTACATTCTTACCCTACTCCATCCACCCTATTACTATCCCACGCTACCTCCGTTCCACCCTCCTCTGTCCGCCTTGGCTGTTATCATACACCAGGTTGGGGTACAACACTCACTGCTCATCTGCAGCTCCAATGCACCAACTTCATCCTGTCCTACCAAAGGGGATTGTTTTTCAATTATTAATGGTGATCAGATGACTTTATATTATAAAACGGAATGTCCATTCAAAAGCCTTTTATAAGAATAATTCCACTGTTTATTTTCTGTATTTAGAATCATCCCCTGTGGTTTCACATTCTGAAAGTAGGCCCACTTTTAGGAGCATACGGAGGGTACTCAGTGTCGCAGAATGCCTTCTGCTCATTTAAGAAGGAATTACGCCCTTTTTGGCCCCTTCCTTCTGCTCTCCCTTTGTTGCAGCAATGGGTCCGATCGTCATCTTTGGTGTATATATCATGCCCC